AAAAAAAAAAAAAAAAAAAAAAAAAGAAAAGAAAAGAAAGAAAGAAATACAAAGATGACTAAAACCTGGACTGTATTCTTAAATATCTTGAGTCTAGTACAGAAGATACGATGATTCCACAAATAACTATAACTTAAATGCTGTAAGGATGTATCCTGAGAGAGGACTAATTAACCAGAAAAGGGCCAAAGGAAAACAAAATGCTATTTTTTCCTCTACTTCATTTTTGTCTGAATCTTTCCAGTAGCTTAAGGATACACTTCAAGTAGGATAGGCAAACCTTGGTTTTCAACCACCACAGAAAAGGAGAATGATGTATTTGCTCATCTGCAGGGATGTTCATAAGGGAAGTGTTATCCCTCAAGGGAGGCCTGTTCAGCAATGATCACCATGTGATTAAGTCCAACATTCTGGCAAAAAAGGAAAGCCAAAAATATTCATCATGAAGTTAACTCTGTTTTAGAAAGGGAACTATGAAAAAATATGGATTTTCATTACGAGGAAAAAAAAATGAAAGAAATAGTTTTAAAAATAAATAACCAGAAGAAACTGGGAGACTGTTTAAAAACAGCTTATTGGAAACTTGGGGAAAATATTTGACTCAGCCCAAGTAGGACAGGCTTTTAACAAATAAACACTAAATAGCAAAGGAAAGAAGGCTGTTACAGGGAGTGGGAAGGAATGAATCTTTTTATGGAGGAAGAGAATTTTCCAGGAAGAAGAGTGGAAATTCTATAAAATGTGACACACCAAATGCAATGCAAACTAGTAATTAAAGAGGTAGAAAGCTCTTTAATTACCAGGGCACCTTGTAAGGAAATCCAAAATCAAACACCAAAGTTTTCAAAGAAAGAAAGGAAAGCAGGTAGTGTATTAATGAAACTACTTGAGGCTAATGATGGAAAAGTTGTACTCAAGAGCATAAAGACAATAGTCCAAAAAAAAAAAAAGAGTTTGTCAGGGCAATTAATTTTTAAAAAGTAATTTTATGGAGCTCTCCCAATTTAAATACTTTAAATTGTACTTTCAACAGAGAATTTGTATCAGTTAGCTTTTGCTGCATAACAAACCACTTCAAAACTTAGTGGTTTAAAAGAACAATTACTTATTAGTTCATAATTGAGTGTTTTGGCAATTTGGCCTGGGATGAGTCAGGCCATACTGCTGGCTCATCTAGGTCTCACTCAAGTGGCTTAGCTAACTAGTGGCTTAGCGAGGCCTGGATGGTCGAGATGGCCTCACTCCCATTTCTGGCAGTTCTGAGGCTCTCTTCCATGTGGTCTCTCTAGCAGGCTACTTCAGACTCTTTGCATCCTTGTTTGATGATGACATTTGCAGCAATAGGGAAGAATCCCTAGTGGCCAAGCACTTTACAATATAAACCTTGGCTTACATCCTATTTCTTCATGTCCCATTGGCCAAGGAAGTCTTTTGGCTAAGCCCAGTCTCAAGGGATAGAGAATTAAACACAACCACCTGATGGGAAGTGTGGCAGCATCTCATTATAAAGCAATGTGCATAATATAGGAGGAAGTATTGTGGCCATGTTTGCAAGAAACCAACCACAGTTTGCCCTCAAGTCACAAAATAAACATGCTTCCCACATGCAAAATACAATCTCTGTCTTCTACAAAAGTCATATCCCATGATGGTATCAGTCTTGAAGGATCTTCATCAAAATCAGCTCCAGACATAGATGAGTTTCTTTAGGTGTAGCTCTTCAGGTTCAGCTCCTCTTAATTCAAAGACCTATATGTTAAAGTTAGCTGCCTTCTTAACACACGCATTCAACATGTAACAGGGAGAGGGGACAGATAACAGCAATAAACGCTCCCACTTGAAATGGGAAGAACACCGGCACAAAGCAGTCACCAGTTCATAACGACTGTGAGATCCTGCCAGGGAAATGTTAACAAGGACCTCAACTGTTGGAACAGGAAATATTACTTAATTAAGGCCCAATTCTAGCTCCCAAGAATTGTTCTCAAGTTCATTGTTCTGTGAAGCTCTTGGCTATTCCCTTCAGAAGCCTGAATTCTACCCATAGAAAGTTGGGGCCCACAGACCTCCTTTGGTTTTAAACTACTTCAGTCTTTTTTAGCAAAAGCTGGCACTGCTTTCACAAAGCTTTGTGAATTTCCCCATAAAGCAAAGTCAAGTGTGTGCCATACCCCAAAGCCAAACCCACAATTTCTTTGGAAATAGGCATCTCTCTTATTTGGGTATCATTTCAGGATTGGGAGAATGCCCTTAAAATTACTGAAAGCTCTTTTGCCTGGCTGAACGTCTACTAGACACCATCTTAAATCTATTGGAGGGCTTTGAAAAGAAACTTAGAGCCATACCCTTAATTTATCCTTATTCCTAAAGATATTTCTTGTTTTGAAAATCTTTGCTGGCCGGAGAAACTTGAAATAAAAAATAGTTTTATTTTCCAACCTAGCAAATTTGTCTTCTTTGTGTACCTCTAAATTCTGTTTGCCAAATATTTATTTAGCTCATCTTTCTCTCACAGTTTCACATCAAATTCAGCTAGCAGAAGCCAACAGGCACTTACTCCATTGTGCCATAAGATCTTCTTAGTCCTATCTGTAAGTTTATTGCATACATTTTTTTATCTGTGACAGTTTTGTCAAATTTTTTTGCAACAATGAACATGGATTAGCATCTTTCCAACCTTCTCTTATGGTTTTCTCACCACTTTTCTAGCCTCCACTCACAGCTTGTTTGCCTTTTTGTTGTTGCTCATGCTTTGGTAGAAATTTCCTCACTGCTTTTTTAGCCTCCGCTTGCTGTCTGACCCCAAAGCCACCTCTACATGTTTTAGGTTTTTATCACAGCAGCCTCCCACTTCTGGTGGCAATTTCTATGTCAGTTAAGTTTTACTGCATAACAAACTACTCCCCTGAGAAACTGGCTCGGAGAAAAAAAAAGCATTTCTTTTTTTACCATGATTTTGTGGGATGACTGGG